CCGACTTGTTTATTTTAATTTTTATAGATTTCTAAATCTTTTGAAATGCTTTAATGCACTAAAATGAATGAAATTGTGATTATTATTTAAGAAATACAACAGAAATTTAAAAAAATAGGCTTTCATGGCTATCATATAATTGGTTTATTAATATATTATTAAAATTTTTATAGGACTTGATTTTAAAAATAATTGACTTTTCTGAACAATAGAAACGTATACTAAACATAAACATTAATCAGACATAAGTCTGAGACAATTGGACAACTATAGTTATCACCCGGTATCTCTAGAAACAATTTTGAATGCATTATGGCGCTGAAGAAACTGATACGAGGCTATTGGCGATATTGAGTAATTTCATAACCTTAGACAAAGGAATTCCAAGTTTTACAGTCGAATTCATAACTTTATGTCTAGGTTTATTTGCGATCTCCTTGTTAATCCTCGATAGTATAGTGGTTAGTATCCCCGCCTGTCACGCGGGAGACCGGGGTTCAATTCCCCGTCGGGGAGAAATAAACTTTCTTTTTACAGTAGTAGGTTTTGGGTTACCGACAAAAGTCTAACCTAAAATGCTTATAATTTCGGTAAATTACGAAATTTGTCGGTAAGACCTACTGATAGACACCAATGTTTTCAACTTTAACTTCTTAAAATTTTGGATCTCAAAGTTACCGATATTTGTCGCTAACTCAAAAAAAATGAGTTAGGGAATCCCACTACTGACGTTATAGCTTCGTTTCATTACTATTTTTTATTTTATTTTATTGCAATCCAATGTCGCTAAGAATTAGAATTGCAATTCCTCTGGTTTATATTTCTTAAGATAAGACCCGGGCTTATATAATCCTCGATAGTATAGTGGTTAGTATCCCCGCCTGTCACGCGGGAGACCGGGGTTCAATTCCCCGTCGGGGAGGAAAATAATATTTTGTGTAATTTTTTTTATATGAGTGGTACCTGACATCAGAGTTCCTCAATATTCTGGGATATACTTTGATAGGAACATCGTTTTCATACCAGGTATTTTTAGTCAGTTTATGATTTTATTATAAGCCTTTGTTATGCGCAATCCTCGATAGTATAGTGGTTAGTATCCCGGGGTTCAATTCCCCGTCGGGGAGACATTGTCGAATAATTTTTTGCAGAGTATTAAAAACAATAATTACAAATGTAAAGATGTATTGAAAAAGTTTTGCTGAGAGGGACAAGCATGGAAGTAAATAAATTTTATAATTTTTGAGCAATTCTATTTCATTTTGTAAAAGTTACCAAAACTTTTAGGTTGCTGATAGGAGATTCCTCCAACATGTTTGAGGAGTAACGCTAAATAGGTATTAATGATTTTAGGGTTCATAGAAACGTTTACATAAATAATCAATGTCTCGTCATTCAATTAATCGGCGGCGCGTGCGTACTGCTTTCAAACGTATTCTGAAATGTGTTAATTAGTTGCTGATATGAATGAAATGCGTAGTAACTAGAGTTCAAATTGAGAAATGTCTGGTCTAGACAAAAGAAGTAAAAGTAGTTTAAACAAAATTATGCTTCATACGTGTACGTCTATCAGTCACGATTTCTTTATCAAAACTTGGCCGGCTAACATTATGTGATCTTGACAGTTAGTTACAAATTTAGTAAGTCGGGTTTAATTCTTTCCTGGTGCTTTCTTTAATTCCTCAATAACTTTCTGCATTGGATTGTCGATCTTTCTCCAACAGCTTTAATTTGTTTCTAGCAAGTTCTCTTACCCGTAGCTTGTTTATTTACCCAAGTTATTAGCATCATTTGAATTTATTCTGTGTCACGATCTGAAGTTTGTATGTATTTTTATATAGGCCATGAAAGAATTATTAAACTTTCTTTTTCAATTCGATCATTGAATGGACGGATGGTGTACCGGCCAAAAAGTAGATCATTTAGCACTTTTACTAGTTATACAACTGTTAAATAGTTTTCTATCTATTATCATTTATCGAAGGATAAGTTATCTAAAACTGACAAGCTGTCGGGTTTTAGGGACAATGAGCCGAACGATTGTTCGTATGTTTATAAAATATTAAAGCATTGAATAGCGACAGTTGGATTTTCGCTCAATCTTATTACTTTTACAGTTTACGGGATTTTGTAAAGCCAAAAGATTTAATATATATATATATATATTTGCAAATATATCCTCATAAAGAAGGCTAACCATAAAACTAGGATATGCAATTAGGATGCTGTCCAGGATTTCTCAAATCAAGTTGATTTTATTATCGCTTATGTAAAAGCGCTATTTTATGTGTTCCTTGAATTCGCATCGTTCCATTTAAGCTTTTATTCATTCATTTCTAGAGGTTTTAATTTTCTTTTTCGGTCGTAAAAATTGTCATTTGTTTTTCTCATTTTTCTACATTTAAAATATCCCCATATTGTGTTTCTGTTTCGAAAAAAAACTACAATATTTGTATGTTTTTGCAATTATTTAATGAAAATTTTATATTTATACTTTCATTAGGCCCATTCGTTTGTTTACAAGTGCAGTATTTATTAAATATTTATTTATGGCAGCTTCACCGCTATTGTTACATGCCAGTACATATGTATTTCGGTGTGCGGTTTCATTTACAATTTAATTGTTTCCTCCAATAAGTGTGACATTGAGAGTTGCAATGTGTTATAGCCGAGTACAATTACACATGTACTTTTTTTGAAATTGGTCTATACCAACTCTGCCAAAATAATCGACAAATATAACACAAACAAAATGGGGATAAACATACATGTTTGTGCAAGTATAAAAAATGATAATTTTATAATAATGTTGAAAGATATTGTATTTATGCTATTAAAACATTATCTTTAGTAAACACATCAGTAGTGGAACTCCGCGAAAACCGGTAACTTTGTTACCCATAATTTTGATATAAACAAGTAAAATAGTATCAGTCGGTCTTGCCGACATATGTATACCTTGAGATATGATTATTCAAACTGTTGATCCTTTATGGGGGAGGTTCCGAAGCGGTTGGCCAATATTGTTCAATTCGTATTTGACGTAAGATTGATATAATGTTACAACGTGCCAGATGTGTGAAATTTGAAGAGAGTTGTATGCTTATTTCGCATTCTTTGAGGATTTTGTTTTTCAAAATCGTGAAATCTATGTGGGGGAGGTACCAGACGAAATGGTCCGATCTCTACCATCGATATAACAGTTCTTGTGTTGATGGAAATATCGAGATATACCAAGTCTTAATGGAATCGAATCATAATTTCGTGTTTTATGAGCTTCATGAATATTCCAATTTGACCCTTTGAGGGGGAGGTGCCAGAAGGAGTGGACCGATATATTTCATCTTCACAGCAGATCTTGAGTTAATAAAAATATTGTGATATGTGTAATTTGAAGAGAACCGGATGCTTATTTCGAATTTTATGAACGTTTTTGTTTTTCAAAACTTTGACCCTTTGTGGGGGGGGTACTGGATGGAGTGGACCGATATTGTCCATTTTCTCACCTGACCTAGCACTTATGCATATATTAGGTTATGCAAAGTTGGAGCAAAATCGGATAATACTTTCTCTTTCTGTACATTAAATTATTTTTTTTGAACATTTTGTGAGGGAGGTACCATAAGAAGTGGACCAATATTGCCCATCTCCGAATTTGATCTTAGTTTGACAATAATATTACGATGTGCTAAGTTTGGATCAAATCGGATACTCCTTTCGAGAGTTGTCGCGCACACCAGCCAGACAGACTGACAGACATCGCTAGATCGACTCCAGATGTCCTGAAACGGATTTGGTCCAAAGAGCCTAAGGGTCTAAAATTGTTATTCTGTAGTCATACCGACTTCTGTCAGTATTTAAATAATGAGTTAGAGAATCGCACTACAGAAGTCATATTGCTCAATTTTATTCTTCAAAGACATGATTGTGACCATATTTACCCAGAAGTAGTGGAGGCTGAAAAATTTCTTTCTCCCTTTTGACAAATAATAATTCAAATGTCTTAAAGGGAATGAATGAAGTATTTCAGGATTACGGATTTCAAATAATAATTTGGGGGATCAAAAGCTGCAAATAAGTAAAAGCGTATCCTAATCAGAAAACTGACGTGACAAAAATGTGTGACTAGTCTATGCAACATGACTTCAAAGGATAAAGGTATAAAAGTTGTGGCATAGAAACCATAAAGCATCTCCTCGTATGCAATTCAAATAATACGATGCATTTTTATTTACACGCTTATAATTATATTGAATAACAAATATTAAATATTGTACGCACACTTTTCTAAATTTATGCACACAAACCAATCACAAATTAAATACGAGTGTCGGCTATTAATTCTAAAATGCGAAACAACCGCGTCGATTGCTGTGAAAGGCTTCTTGTCGGGTGAAACGTCACTTCCACCAAAAATATTTTGGAGGACTCTAAGGCAAGAATCATTACAATATATTTGAGGATCCCTCAACTAACTAAATACCAGAAACAGAGTAAACAAATTGAGAGATACAAAAATAAATATATCGAGAGGTATAAAATGTAATTTTATTGTAATAGAAAACAAGTGAAAGTTAAATAAGATCAAAATTAAGATACTTGTCACTAATCCAGCAACTTCAATACAATGTTGCTGACAAATATTGTTAGGCGCTGAAATGCGTCTTTCGATTCACCAGCCTCAAGAAAAACGGTATTGACTCATTAGCACGTGTGCGCAAAAGAAAGAAAGTGGCCAAGTTTGGAGCACCAACAACTTTGGAGCCAACGAAAAAGGTTTCAAAGCAAGATCCATAATAAATAGCACATAAGAACCAAACACACATATACACATACCCATCGCGAAGATGTTTACTATCAAAATGGGAGCAGTTGATGCAGTTAATATTGGTAATACATAAAGAAAATTAAGACTACCGTCAATTGATGAATAGTACACGACAAAACCGAAAACATCAGTCTATAGGAGATTAAAGATAAGACCTTTTCTTCGAGGCGATTTCAGTTCGGAGATTATGATTCAGTTGTAAATAACCTCGAGTGAAGAACAAACGTGCTGATAACTTTTACGCTCAAGCTTGCCAGCACTAAGACTGCGATGTTTGTCTAACGGAAACGGAAGTGTATTTGTGCTCGAAAAAAAAAAACAAAATATCGAATAATTATATCAATAAAAAAAATAAGTGCAACAAATAAAATGTCAATACGAAAAGCATTCAGAATTTTTTTAATTAGTGTGATATTCCTGTACGGAAATGTTCAGCAGTCATACGCCTACACACAAGTCTCAAGCAGCGGCAGTGGGGACCACAGTGGGGATGGACCAAAAATCTACAAAGCCTTAAATTTTGATTTGGTTTTTCCTAAAAGGTATATTTTTTGGTGAATTAGTGAACAGTGAGATAGAGTGATGGCATGTAAATATAAAATTCACTAAATTTTGTGTTCGACTTAAGTACAATGACAACATTATATATTACCCTCGCTTAATAAAATATAGAGAATGGATAACATTTGGCATTTGAGCAGGAACAGTGATTACACATATTAAATCCAGAAAATGTGCCTTAATGTAAAAACAGAGATACAACAATTCCCTTAATTTTAAAAACATTAACTTATCTTAATATTGTCAAATACTAAGTTTTTTTGTTTAAAAGACCCAATTTGAATGGTTTTGTTTTTGCCATTTTCCAACAGTTTCAACTCTACCGAAAGTTTTACATCGCCAACATCATCATCGGATTCCTTAGCCATTGAGCCACCTGCCACTGCGCCTAGTAGCTTGCTCGACCGGCGACAGTATAATCCATTGCCACAATCAAATGCACAAACAAATCAAGATGATGGCGATAACCGACCTCTATATATTACACCATCGCCTAATGAGGCTGCTCTTTACCAGACACCCAAAACAATCAGCAACACCCACGACAACGAGGACGACGGTACACAAGTGGTGACACAAAATCCCATAAATATTCAGCAACAACGAAATGATAACAGCACCAATAGTGTGGCCATAGAACAAGAACAACAAAATATTGCCACTGGTCGTGCTGTCGATTATCGTAGTGGTTATCCCTTTGGTCAACTTATCACGCCATTAATCAAAAATGCACCACGTCCTGTGTACAGCAGTGGCATTGGTAAGGCCAAGCCCGTGCCAACGTCATTATATAGTTCAGCAGCAACGAATAGTGGCCAACAAGTGGTCTATCCCCAAGTTGCATATCAGCGAAAGCCGCCAAGTCGAGCTGAAATTGATAAGTTTCGCGGTCGTGGTAAGTGATTAAAATGCAAATTATGTCCGCAGAGAAGAATTTAGAATATGATGGCCAAGCTATCAGCTACAAATAATAACAATTTCATTTATTATTAGGACCCATCAAGGATCGATTTACGCCGAGTGAAGCTGTGGCATCGCATCAAATAAAGGCGGCTCACAGTCATAATCATGACCACCATAATCATTCGCCTACTTATACGGCTGCTGGCAAAACGGCAGCCTCTTCTAATGTGGTAAATACATACGTTCCACCTGCCAACTTGTATTCGTTTCCACCGAACAACATAGACTATCCCCTGCCTACATCCCAGGGCAATAAACTAGCAATGCCGAGTAATGTGGTCAATTCGTATGCACCACCCGCATCGGGCCTGGAGGATTCAGGATACAAGTATCAGGGCCCTTTAAATTTAGGCTACTTGCCATCCATTAACAGTGACAATGATGGTGGTAAAGGCAATAGCGATGGCCAAGCCGATGGAGATACAAAAGGCCAGATGGACAACAATGACGGTGATGCTGAAACTGGTGATGATTCAATCGGAGTGTTGCCAGCCAGTGCCATGGGTGGAGATAACAGTTCTGGCGACACAATGGATCAGATGAAAATGAATGATGGTAAGACAATAGATGACGGTATGATTTCTGCTCAACCTTGTAACAACAACTTGTCGTTAAATAACTAAAGAATCGGAGAGTATTTATTGAAGAAGATATAAAAAATACACACAGAATTGGCGCTCTTCTTTCGATAGTGTGCAATACAAAAATACAATTAAAAAACAGTTCTAGATGTTCCACCATTTGGGACGAATTTAGCAATTTTAAAAACAATAAAATCCGTTAAAAATTCTATTAAAATCTTAAAAATACCGAATGTAGCAGTTTTATTAGGGTTTATACGACGACATGAGCCATTACAATATTCAAATGCGAAACTGAAATCGGTGAATAATGTAGCTAAAATCATGAAAATACGGAATATCGGGAGGTACCGTTTTATGGGGGCTATACGAAGGCGTGGACATGCACAGACAATTTTTTGTCATAGGCTGTAGTATCCATTTCGAACTTCAAATACCAAATTTGAAACAATTCCTGTAAATAATGTCACTAAAATCATCAAAATACCGAATATCGGGAGGTACAGTTATATGGGAGCTATACGAAGACGGGGCCTACATCACCCATTTTTAATACCAAAAGTCCTGCAGACATAATACACATTTGAGTAAAATTTCATCAACCTACTTCATTTCGTTCGGAAGCTAGAGTGATTTACACAGACGGATAGACGGACAGACTCTCTAAATCGACATAAAATTTTATGCTGATCAAGAATATATACTTTGTGGGATCTAAACTGTATATTTCCAGGTGTTACAAACGTAATGACAAACTTAATATACCCTCCATACTATGGTGGAGGGTAAAATAAATAAATTTCTTTGAAAACGAACAAATTTCGTCCTTGAAGGCAGCAATTCTGTGTTGTTTTTACGCAGCTGATGCATCTATTTGTCGTACCGCGTTCGAACTTTTTTCTTTATATAAAGAGTTTTTCACATTTATATCTCTAAGAAATATCGTTATAGTGTGATCTGTATTTATAAAGCACCGAGCAAAAAACATCAGTCTTTTTCTTACTTACTTATATACTTATATTACGGATGAATTCTTATTTCAAACTAAACACCACGCTTCCATGTGATTTCCAATCTAATCCTAGTGTATAGACAATAAATTTTAGATTTAATGCAAAAAGGAATGGCCAAAACTTATAGATTATATTAATATTAGAGTTCGAGTTATCGATGTTATTGCACTGTAGCTCACAAGAATTACTTTGAAAATTTTTAATATTTATTATGTTGAATATTTTCAGATCAATCCAACGATCACCATCACCATGATGACCATGAATACGACACTGAAAAGGAGTATCCAACTCCACCACCTGAATGGCTAAAAGCTCATCCAGAAGCCCAAAGTGAACAACCTCCAAATGATATGGATGATCACGACCACGCTTCCGCCGACATAGACCACGATCATGACCACCACTCAGCTGATATGGCTCATGATCACCACCATCCCGATATTATATTCGATCACGACCATGACCATTATTATCCTTATCATCATTCCTTTCCTTCATTCCCTGTGTACCCACATTATCCAGAAATAATTTACGACGATCACCATGATCATCATCATCACGTAGAACCGCCCACAACAACTACAGAAGCCCCACCACCGGAACCTCCACCAGAGCCAAGAGTTAAAAAGTACAGCTACTTTTACATTGGACGCAAACTGTGGTACATTCCACTTTACTTTACTGTTTGGTTCAGTTTTTATGTTCTTTGGCTCATTCTAAAATCAATAGCCCGACACAAGGTAAGTCCTACACCATTTTCAAGTCATTGGGAACATGCGTATAAACATGACATATTCGAATATAGGTAAATTTACCCAATCACTACGTATCCAGAAGAAGCATCAACGAATACCACCCACCCAAAAGCCAGGAAGATGTCCTTAATGAGTTGACCGTATCTGTTATGGACAAAATCGATAAATTTAAAAGAAAATATTTGAAGTGATCAATGAATTAGTGATATATGAACACAAGAATAAAAGACTTAAATCTGATAAAAAAATATTTTTTTTCTAATAACATTATGCGCAACGCGATTTGAACCGTTTCCGTTTAGCCGGAGTTGAGAATTTTTACCAAAATTATCTTACAACTAGGGACATTCCCAAAAACACATTAACACAAACCAATTCTTGTTTCTTCCGATATCTTCGTCTTTTGTTGACCGTATTTAATTGCAATGCTGAGAATCATATTATACTGAGAATAAAAATATGTTTGGAATCGAAAAATAAATTAGAACACTCCAAGGAAGATTTATTCATACAGTTATGTGGAAATCTGAGCTATTTGGATTACTATTTTTAAAATATCATCATATGCAAAAATATTTAAGAGTAAATACGGTTCCCCTTTTCAACAAATGGTCGCCGTACATATGCTCAATATTAACGTAATATTTTTTATTGTATATTATACATTGGACGAACATAACTAAATTTCATCAATAATTTCATATATAACTGTTTCCTCGCACTCATCATCATCTTCTTGATTTCCATCTACATCTTCGTTATACATATCGCCCTTTATTTCATAATGCATGTCTGACATTTCATACGTATCCACAGCAGTGTCGTCGGTATCGTCTTCAGATCTATTCTGCTGACCATCAGACTTACGGCGGAGATGTGTAGAAATATTTTGCCGCCTGACCTTCCTGGGTTGCACAACAGCGGTTTTACTGAAAACAAAAATATAGTCTTTTATTGCTAGTATTAGCAAAATCATAAAAAAGTGACTTACGCCGCCTTTAAATCCTCCAATTTCGGTATGGGGACTGGTTCGTTTTTCTTGCCTCTGGCTTCCTCTTCCGCCAATTCTTTTGGATGTACTCTCCTTTTGTGGGACCTACAATTCGAACCATTTGAAAACGATTTGTCACAAAACTGGCACTTGTAAGGCTTTAACCCGGTATGAAGTATAAGATGGTTTTTTAGCGATTTAGCCCTCTTAAATGCAGCATCACAGAATTCACATTTAAATCGCTTAACATTACTATGCACCAACTGATGCTGCAGCAACGTTCTTCTCGTATTTAAAATTAGGCCGCAGTCCTCGCACTTGTATGCAGACTCATTGTGCGTATCCATATGAGCCTTTAGTCTCGGCTTGTTTTTGAACCGCTTCTTGCACACATTACACTCGAAAGGGCATTCGTCGGTATGGACAAATTGGTGTTCTTTTAATGCGGCTAGAGTTTTGCATGCACGACCACACTGGTCGCAAATGTATGGTTTTAGTTCTTGATGTATTCCTTTTACATGCTGCCGCATTGCCCCGATTTGGCCAAACTTACGATCACAGAATGGACAGGGAACTACCAACTTTTCTTCTTCGGGAAGATGTTGCCTCATGTGCAGCTTAAGACGACCGCGTGTGGAACAATCTTTTTTACAGATCGGACATTCAAAATCTGGCATGCTTTCTATTACTACGTTATGGCAAGATCGCATATGTTTACGGTACACATTGGGATTTTTATATTTTCTCCTACAATCTTCACACTCATAGCGATATGCAGATGACTTTCGGTCCGTCTTTTTGAATGGTCTTCCTCTCTTCTGTACAGTCGATGATTTCGGTGAATTTTGAGTAGAAGAAGGTTCTTCCTCTCCTTTTGCAGAGGGATCTGTCAAATCATCATACTCCTCCTCGTAGTACTGTTCATCTTCCATATCCACGTAGTCTTCTTCCAATTCCTCCGAGACATTTTCGTCTTCTTCCAAAGGTAGGTTACTGTACTTTGTATTATTATCTTGGGACAAATGGTCCACCGACTTAAGCTCATCATCTTCAATTTCCTCAGATTTGAATTTTAGCTCTTTAAACAAATCACTATCTTCGACATCCTGTCCATGCTCTTGGCTCCCCGACGACCTTTTGTGTTTAATAATTTTATATCTAAAATGATCTTCATCCACTTCTATTAAATCGTCATTATTTTGTATAAGATACTCGAAATTTTGTACGACTTCTTGTTCGGTGTCGACTTCAACTACCACCTCGTCGTCAGTTCCAGTTTCACTTAAATCTCTGTTTTGCTGCGACGGTTTTCTTTTTGTTTCTGTAACCTCGTTCTTTTTATGTTGACTGGGTTCTTCTTTCCCGGAAGACTGATTTTTACGAGTTTTATCTAAGGATATCTCGCGAGTATTCGAACTACAGCCAGTATTAAAGAAGATAACTAGATCTGTTTGCACTTCCTGGTTAGCGAACTTTGGTTTAAGAGATTTTGTGTCAGTTGGTTCATCTTTTATTATGTGTTCCCAATCCTCCGTTAAGCCAATCTGCAATCTTATACTATTGGCATCTGTCTCTGTGGTTGGCTTCAAATTCTGTAGTAAACAGAAAAGTGTTTGGACTTTATTAACGCGTTCCGTAAAACTGCTTAGTTGGTCAATTAACCTGTGACATTCCTTACATATACTTGTTGATATTTGGTCGTCAGCCTTAATCTGGAAACACTCATTGTTTAAAGAATTGAAAAAGCAATAAGGAGTAACTTTACTTACATTAACCCAAAAGAACTTTCCTATTGATGTAGCCAACAGAGATGATTGTCCTGTGTCGCTCTTAGGGAAAATTAATTGATTGCTTTCTGCTGACTTGGCACAAAGTCGGCACCAGGTAAGCCACAAAGTAGGATTGTCAACTGCAGTTGACACCTCCACTTCTTGTCTATTATTCATTTCTGGCGAGGATGGAAATGCGTAAATTGAAGAGATGCAAATGTCAGGAGACAAGTCACAGTTCACTTCTGCCTCCTCTTTCTAACCGCTTCTCTTTTATAAAAGGAAGACACAAATAGCTGGAAAAACACATGGACCAAGAAAACAGAGGCACATAGACTTACTACTTTTCCAAGTATGTTTTCACAGTGACACCAACGCACGCTTGGAAAGACGTCCCAAACCTAAACAAAGAAGACAAAAGAGAATGACGCTAAATACGTAGAAAGTAGGAAAGTAGAATGAAAGTTTTGTGTGTTCCTTTCTCACTTTCTCTGTGTGTGTTTACGAATACGTGTGTAATGTATTTTCGCAATCAGCTGAGAAAGTAGGGATACATAGGTGCTTTACTTTTTTTAGATGGCTAATGTTAAGTTCACACGGCACGTGATTCGTTGTTCGACCATTAATTATGAAATATCTACATAATGCTAGGAACACAATTGGAGCGAACGACGAATTTTTTCGCGGCGTATGTTCGTCGTCAAAAATAAAACACATATGTGTATATGGAAGTGCACACAATCACGGCACCGGCGAAAATTTCGTCGGTCGCCGCGAACTCAATTAGCTTTATTTCTATTTCATACGCCGGCGACCGGCGAACAAAACAGTACAAGGTGGCCATACTTGTACGAATTTTATGTGTTTTAGTAAATAAAGTTACTTTTTACTTTAAAATTTGTTATGGTCACTCTACTATCTGTTACTCGTATAAAAAAACATAATTAATTTGTTTATTTATTTGTGTACTTGCGCCTGAGTGAAGATGGATATCAGTGAATTTATAATAGAGAAGATGGACATAAGTGAAATTATAATAGAGAACGTAAAGAATTATGTGTTCTTGTATAATTCATTGTAGTCAACAAATGAGCAAAAAGTAAACAACTTCATCAGCTGTTTTATAATTTCGTCGGTATTGTGTTCCATACGACGAATTTTCGCGGCTCATTTTGTCGCCGCGTAGGGCGAAATTCGTCGTTCGCTCCAATTGTGTTCCTAGCATAACTCCCTACACAACATTTTCTGAGTGAACAAATATTTTTGTTCTTTGTTCCATTCAATTTACTCTCAGAACTACGATGATATGTATGCTATAACAAATTTAAAATAGAAAAAAAATATTTGAATGAAAGAAAGTAAATTTTGTTTTCTCTCTTATCTGAGGTAGGCCTTTTGCCCACCAGTTGGAATTTGATTTCATTTCATTTATTTCATACAATTCAATATAAATAAGCCAACATGGCCAAAATCTTATATTAACATACAAAAGTATAAAAACAGTCTATAACCAAATTAATCTAAAAAAAAACTAAATAAATAACAAAAATTATAAACGAATAGTAAAATATATACAAAAAAAATAATAATAATAATAATTTAAATTTAGTAGCAATTAGACCCTCAGACAAAACTCCTCTACCAAGCTGAACAACAGTTTAGCAAGATAGAGAGGAAAAAGGCAAGAGGCATCAATACACTTAAGCGCTAATCATCACTCGTTACCAACCGAGCGAATGTAGCTACTACAAGTATAGCAAAAAAATCCTTAAAAAAGAAAAAAACAATAAAATTATGTACTACATGGAAAATAAACTACCATAAAAATGGCCCCCAGCCAATAACTAAAAAGAAACAACAAAATGTAACCCGCAACCAGAAACTCAATGAACAGACATATATTCAAAACACCTCTTCTTGTACACATCAAAAGAACAGGTAAAATTACGCAGGGCCAGAGGGAGCTGATTCCACAATCTCGCAACTCTCACAACAAACGCCTTCTCACCAACTACAGATCTTGGAAACAGCAATTGCGGATTTCGAGATGATCTACAAAACACAAACTTATTATACAAAGGAGAATTAACATTCCTCATAATTCTATAATGACACAAAAGAAGGCCATATTCAACATATCTGTCAAATGACAGACCAAGAAACTTAATAACATACTGTGTTACACGATCACTACGGCGCAACCCAAACACATATCTAACAATAGAGTTAACAAGTTTGCGTACGCACAGAATTAGGGAAACATTCGCCCCAGTGATGACTTCCAAACAATAGTTGACATGAGACATTAATAAAGATCTGGCAAAGATCTGGAATTTCGACAGGAAACTGTCTGTATCGACTAAAAATGTTTGACAAGTGACTCCCCAACCGAATTTTAAAACAGGAAAACACAAAAATATATGTAAAATGTCGACATTTCTACAAAAAGTTCAAAACATGAATTAAAATTGTTAAGTGAAAGATAAAATAAATTTGGAGGAAAAAGAATAATTTCTTCTTTTATTATTAATGCTATTTTCGTGTACTTTCGTACAAATTCCTATCAACTATCAATCAACAAACAAAATATTTGAAAAAAAAGGAATAATGATACTATGAATTACGAATCGTCCCGTGTGAACGGGTTAATTCTTGTACCTAATTCTGAGAGCGAACAACGTGATTGAAATTGCGTTGAGAACATAGCATAAGTCGAACAATCGACTATCAATAGTCGAGTACTCGGTTTTCACCCAAGTCAATAGTCGAGTTTCAGACGATTATTCGCCATTCTGTTTTGATTCCACATCTTTATTCTGATTTCTCTCTCTGCTGTCTTTCCTTCCAGTGTTGCCGTATCGTTCAAACCACTTATGTTGTCGGCCATTTTGTTTTGATTCCATTTGTGTTGTCGGCCTCTCTGTTATGTTCCACATCTTTATTCACATTTCTCTCTGTACTGTTCTTCCAGTGTTGTATTGTTGTCTCTTTCTCGGTGGCGTCACTTTAAGGTGGCGTCGCTTTGAGGTGGCGTCGCTTGTGTAAAAATTATTTAATTATTTAAAAATTAATTAATTAAAAACAATAAATTAATAAATAAATAATAAATTTTGAAGAAAGTTCCTTAAAAATCAAATACAAAAAGAAATTAGTTCCAAAAAGTGATTATAACTCCATAAAATTCCGAAATAGCTGAACATGGAATCCTGCCTAGCTTTATGGCATAATTGGTGCCGTTTGTGTGCTAAAGAAGATTCTCACAACATCATCATTCACAGGATGGATGTACAAAACGCCCTGGAGAAGTATTTTTCGCTGCAATTGTCAAGCGAAGATGATTTTCCAAATGTCTTGTGTTCTGATTGCCTGTCCTTGGTCACACGTACAACACGATTCAATAAACACGTTGAGAGGGTGCAGCATATGTACGAATTCTTAGTGCAGAACCCCAAGGAATATATAAATTTGGAGTCGATTCGTAGCCGTTTCTGTATATACGAAGGCACAAAAAATCATTGGCTTTCGGAAAGCAACCTGTCTACAGATAATGACTTAACTAGTCAGAAAATTAAAGAAGAGGATTTCGAGGAGGAATATAAACTGGAATTAGAAGATGAGAGAAGTATTGATGACGATATTAACCAAAGCGATATAAGCTACGGTGTTTATTTTGAAGATGTGATACAAAATACAGAGGATGAATGCCGATATGTTCCTCCGGTTACTAACACTAATATAGAATTTACTGATCAGATAGCTGAAGAGCCTTTCGAGGAATGTTCGCCAGAGGAAGGCGGTGAGAAAAATATTGATGACAATAAGGACCAAATCGATATTAGCTACGACAATGATCCCTTTGACGATGCGAAACAAAATGCAGAGGACAAATACAGGTATGTTCCTCCACTTACTAAAGCTCGTATATGCTTCATTGATCAGGAAACTAAAGAGAAGGAATATTCACAGGAAGAAGATGAGAAAAATATTGATGACGACAAGGGCCTTATCGACATTAGTTACGATGATTCTTTTGACGAATGTCAATATGCTTCCCTACGTAGAACAAAAATACAAAGACCACTAGTTCCAGTAATTAAGAACTTTCCATTGAATGGAGAATGTAGAATGTGTGGTGATCGTCTGTATTCCTTTTCATCATGTGTTGATCACATGAGAAACAAACATGGCAATGACAATGAAAATCAGATTTTTGAGTGTCTTTTGTGTGACAAGGCCTTACAAAGCTGGTATAGTTTTGAACGTCATATGCGAACGCACATTCCAGCAGAGGAGCGTAAAACGCACCAATGTACGCTATGTGAATCTCGTTTCCCATCCAAATCCAAATTAGAATCACACATAAACTTCAAACACAAAGAAGAAAATATATTCATTTGCGAATTGTGCGGAGTAAGTGCGAAGACATTCTCCAACTTACGGCAACACCAAATATCTATGCATACTGATCTAAAACCCTTCGAATGTGAAATATGCAAAAAGAGGTTTAAGAGCACCCACCGCCTCAAGGTGAGTTAAATCAATTTGTCTGTCTTTTCATTCTTCTAGAAAATACCGTTGCAGATTCACCTGGATCTCCACAGTCCTAATAAGCATGTATGTTCCCTGTGCGGACTTAAATTGAACTCGAGGGCTACTCTCAATCGCCATTTTTTGGTACATTCTGATGACATAAAACATAAGTGTGACTACTGTGGTCGAGGATTTAAGCGAACAAAGGCCTTAAAGAATCACCTGATACTACATACAGGTAAATCACAACAATACTTTTTGCACGTATTTTGATAATAAATTTTATTAAACTTGCAGGTTTAAAGCCATATGCATGTGAATTTTGTGATCGTACGTTTGCAAATAGATCAAATTGCCGCGGTCATATGAAAAAGCAACATCCGGGGCCATTGGCTGCATTAGAAGCTACTGGGAATAAGTCATATACAAAGGATATTCCGAGGTTGGAAACTTTAAAAGCTGTGTAAGTCATATATCATATTTGTGATGGTCTATTTCTTATGAGGTAGCAAAGTTCCGTATTTTTTCCCTCAACCATGTGGCCATATAGGGTATGTATCATTTGATACGGCCAAAACGTGCTTTATCAAAAAAACGGTTTTAGATCTAGATCACTTTGTGTAAAGATGCAATATTTCGTTCCACTCCTTCTGGTACATCCCCCACAAAGGGTCAAACTCTTGAATATTTATGAAGCTCAAAAAAACACGAAATTAACATCAGATTCCATTCCAGACTTGTCACGTCTCAATATTTCCATCAACGCAAGATCTGTTAAAATGATGGTAGAATTCGGACCATTCCTCCTGGGACCTCCCCCTCAAAAGGTCAAATAACCAAAACTTTCATAAAATCCGATAAGCATCCTGTTCTCTTTGCATTACACACATCACAATATTTTTATTAAACCAAGGTCTGGTGTGAACATGGAATATATCGGTCCACTCCTTCTGGTACCTCCCCCACAAAGGGTCAATTTTTCAATATACATGAAGCTCACAAAACACGAAATTAACATCCGATTCCATTCAGACTTGTCACATCAATATTTCCATCAACGCAAGGTCTGTTGTAAAGATGGTAGCGATCGGACAATTTTTTCTGGTACCTCCTCCACATAGGGTTCAATATTTTCAAAAACAAAACGTTCAAAGTAAGCGTAATAAGCATCAAACTCTCTTCAAATTTCATACAACCAAATTTGTTTCATAACACAAAATCTGTTGTGACGATGATAGACATCTGCCAACTCCTCCTGGTACCTCACCCACAATGGGTCGCAATTTCGATTTCCTTCAAACCGACTGATACTATTTTACTTGTTTATTTTAAAGTCAGTTGATATAATAGGCTTACAAAGAAAAATCTTGCATTTTAATTTCACCGATGTTGGTCGGAGTACATAAACACACCACTTGCGGAGAGGTATTCAAATTAGATATGCATATTTTGGCAATACATCTCATTTGACTTTGCTTCCAATGGTGTGCTTTTAATTTTAGCAAGCTGCATGGACCAAAGAATTATGGGATGATACATTCATTCTCAAGTGTGTCTTTGGTTCATTATTATTTTTTATTGATTTTTTTTTTTTTAAATTGAAAATCTAAGTCATAACTAATAGCGTTTAACTTTTTTACTTTGTTTATTTTTTAGCACCAAAGAAGCTGACAATTTGATACCTGTTGTTACAAAATTTAGTGGATGTTTCGCGTTTGGGAAGAAACCAAAATGCATCAAGTTATCTGATATGAAGATCGCAAAAGACCAACAAAAAACATAGAGCAAGTTAAGTTCCATGGTCTGTGGAATATGTCAAGATAGATAGGACTTATTTATTTATTTATCTATTCCCACACAAAAAATCTTTTGTATAAAAAATGTAGCTTCCGGAAAATTAATAAATAAATATACAATTATTAGCTTAAATTCCAAAACACACCCAAAGATATGATTTAATTGCCAGTATGGTCCCCCGTTTCATTTTTCTTCGGTTTGTATGTGTGTGTGTGCGATTGGCGCATTGTGGGTTTTTAGAAATTTCAGCTGAAATACCAGGCAAACAGAATTGCCAGTAGGTGGACTGTAATTTCGTGCCCCGGTAAGTATGCTTTACAATTTGACTACAATTTATTGAGTCGGAAAATATATTTGAAAAACGCCGGAGCATATCTTTAGGCATTTAACTAATTTAGCTTAGCCACATTAAGTCGGGACACAAACCAATAAACTACATTGAGTAAAGACACAGACATTGTATTACAGCAAATCTATTTACCACCCACAAAATAAAAGACGAAAATAATTGATTCAATTTTTTTTTATTTTTTACTATAAATTCTATTGAAATTGATTCGTGGATTGCTATTGCTTTGCTTGATTTTTTAATTTTATTACGTAGTTAACGTTAAAATATAAATATTTGTCATTTTTAAAAAACTAAATGTGTGTTTGTAGATTATGTGAAGTATAAATATTGCAAAAGTGGAACATTGACCCAGATATATGTATTTTGGGTGAGTGTATTGTATTACAAAAGAGTAAACGAACAATTAAAATGTTTCGCTTTCGTGATATGAAACGCATATGTACATTTAAATTTTAACGAGAAGTACAGCCTTAAACGTAACATTGATGCAGTGTAAAATACGTGATAGTATTGTTATGCTATACATGTCTAAAATTATCTAAATTAAGCTTGCTTATTGGTAAAATTGTTTTTAACATTATACTATAAATTAATATCGAATGGACTTAATTATTACTTAAAATTAGAAAATTTTCTACTATTTTAGTATTATTTCGCATTGCACAAAGTTATTATGTATTAACATTTCAGCATTTGTTGTATTTTAATGTCGATAAAATCGTTTTTGTTCCTTATATTTAAATTATTGTATGCCATTGTGGCATCATTTACATACAAGAAAACATTCACACACATGATTATGTATATGAATAAATGAGCATATTCTTGATAATGCTCAGCAGTTTGCTTTTGTTATTTTTATGTTTAAAACACAAGCAAAAAAAATTCTCGATAGCCAGGCGAACTAGACTTTTTAGGTTAAGCATTGTGTGTATTTTTACGAAACTAAGAAAATTCACTTCTTGAGGTTGTCAACCCTGGGCATGATAAACATCTCACGTAAATGGAGGCGGCAATATTATGGGATCAAAATTGCGTGCATAGTCGGTAAAATTGCTTATACGTCGATAACCCCACAAATCCATTGCTTTGGTGCATGAGTTTTGTATGTGTTTAATCTGGAAGTGAATGCAGAACTTATTAATGCAAAAAATGTATGTATATTAATAATCATATCTTACATCTGCCTGAGTTAAGTCTTGTATCCAATGGAATGGAGCCGATTTAGAATCGCGGAATGTGGAACTTACACCGCCAATATTAACTTTAGTATGAGTATCCAAAAACTCTTCAACCAAGGGGTCAAAAGGTAGGCCATAAAACTGCAGCAACTCTTGGCTCATTTCATAGGGGTCTAACGAAAGATCTTCATACCTTATAGTCCTATAAAGTTTACTTATTTTATTAATTTAATATTCATATTTATTTCAATTGACGTGCCTGAATCTAGATGGATATTTTTTTAGAAGTACTTCAGCAGCATGATAGTCGTCTTCCAAATCTTTGCATAAAATTTGTGGTTGATCACAATCTGGATTATCGTAACACCACGTACGATGACGTCTAGACTGCATTGTTCCTCTGGGGTCACGCACCAACAATATAATATGTATGTTTAAACTGAAAGTATACGAAAACAAATGAAATAAAAGTATACAATTGTATTATCTAAATAAAATGCTGGCAAATAGTATATATAATAAACAACCTAGAAAATGTTAGCATTTAAAATTAGTATAAATAGAATTTGAACGCTAATAATGATATTTTGGAGATTTGTTTTTAGTTTTATATCCATTTCAATATACATAGCGATATATACTATTTAGAGTGGCTATTATTCGTTATGATTATCATTGAATTGCCCACTGAATTATAGTCTATTCTCACATTATTTTGATGCTGGGAATGATTTTGTACTACAGTGAGTACCATATACCCAAAATTTAAAAAAATATATGAACGTGATTAATTGCTGTCCACAATTTTATTGATTGATAATGTGGGAATTTCCAAATAGATTAATTTGCTGGCTAATAAATAAAAACAGTTTGTTTTAATAATCGAGCACATACTTTGGTAATTAAAAATATTCCCAGATAAAGTTTTCATATGATAAAATTCGAAGTCATAAACGTATAACGCAGTTTCTCGTATTATAACGTATAAAAACACACTGTAGCTATTAAAAAATGTACTAAGTGAATTAAAATAATATCCAATCATGATCTATAAATTATTATCTCCCATTAATAGTCATTCCTGTTTAACTTTGTTATTTTTGAATAACAAAGTAACAATTGTGAAATGAGCAATTTTATAATAAATTAAATCAAAAAGAACGAACGTTTTATACCCCCCCCTAGTGGTGAACATAAAACGTTCGTACTTTTGTTTTTAATTTAAAAATATCTTGTAAAACACAGATTTTACAATGACAGTCTAGGAGCTCTTTAGAGTCTTCTTCATTTCCCGCTCGAACTATTTTTGGCAATCAAGCAGAAATCTTTTCGTGCAGAATATCTGATTTTGTTCAATCTTATTATCCTCACAGGTTAATCAAGTATGTACACAACGAAATTTCATATTTATGAAACTCTATCTAAAACGTTAACAACAAAGAGGTATTAAAATAAAAAGGTAACGACACATTAAACTTAATTACCATGCTCCTCAACGTATAACATTACATAATAAATATGGTTTAGAAAAGAAACAGCACAACTGTGTGTTTTCTAGATTCAATCTGTATTACATGAAACACATGGGAAGTTTATGCCTGTATACTTCCAAGATTAAACATACATACAGGGTGAGATAAAAAACTGCAACAACGCCATCATTTTTACATTCCTTTTTTAAATTTTATTGAATGAAAGCAACAAAAGTCGGGAATAGCATCGAATTGGTCACTTTTGGCACGAATTATGGCCTTCAAACTGCCAATGAAACCGTCACACGCTGCCCGAATGTTGCACTGCGGTATTTTGGCTCATTCCCGGCGAAGCGATACTTTGGTATTTTTTGCGCCAATCTTGATTTTCAAAATACTCCAGTCACAGTAGTCCAACTTATTGGTATCCGAAGATTTTGGTGGCCATTGTGCGCTGTAAATGAAGCAAGGAACCTCATTTTGTAACCATTCATGGGTGGCGCGTGCTGAGTGTGATGGTGCTGAGTCCTGTTGGGATGTCCAATGTCTGTGGCCAAAATGTTTGAGTGCCTAAGGCTTTAATACGGCATTTATTCTGATGCAAAGTTCGGCCGCAGCTATGGCAGCCCACAATGGCTTCACCCCGAGCTCATTTCTCATTTTTTGCCGAATGGAATATTGCGATATGTTCAGCTCACGTGCCATATGAGCTGTCACTGGAATAATTTTAACAGCTGTCGGATGACTGGCTTAGAAATGACAGCAGTCTGAAGTTAGTTGCAGTTTTTTCATCTTACCCTGTATATATTTCAAACTGGTGAATTCGACAATAGAGCTTAAAAAACATGTGTGATGCAATATTTGCCTACATAACCATGATTGAATGGTAGAGACCCACAGTATCTTAAATACGGATGTACTTAGCATTTGAAAATACTAACATGCCAACTCGAGTGGATAGCTTTCGGAGAGACATGACACTTGACTTGTACGTTGTCCAAATGTTTAACCCAATCCATTGTCAAAAAAGTAAAAGGTTTTAAAAAATTGATTTGAAATGAAAAGTTTAATTGTTTCTTAAAATTGTTTAAAACGTCCTTGAGTTGCTGATCTTTATGATAACTATAACAAACACCTGGATACAATGTTTGTGGTCCATATTTTTCAAGTGGCCAATTTTTAATCAAATAACAGATGGCAATTTGAGAAATTCAAAGTGATGAAATTAGAAATGTTGAAAAAAGTGTTATCGTTTTGGGAATCGTTAGCTTTTCAAACATATAATGACCAGGATGTAGACTACGGGTTACCAAGTAGAGAATGTTAACAATGCAATTGTGAGAAGAAACGAGCATTCAAAAGTGAACGCATGAGTACTGTGTGAATAGGGAAACAAATTGGATGTTCTCTTTGTTGAGCTGTTCGTAAGTAATCGTGCCATGTATACCTAAATAGATGAAATATTTTATCAAACCGTATTGTCGATTATCATAATCATTTCGGCAATTCTATTTTAAATTCCATGTTATGAATTAGAAAACGTTTGCAATAAGGATTTTCCGTACTGTGATTTATCTGGTATTTTGTGCGCATTCACACAAACTGTATGAAACAAGAAAACAACATCATGGTTCCTGGCGTACTACATGAAAATGCAAAATGAAATGATTGTAAATATTCCGATTGTTTTATTCTCTTATTCAGATTATATTCGAACGTATTCGAAGTTGTAGCACTACAACAGACGTTTATCGCCTTCAACGTGCTTCCAAAAAAATTCAATTTCTCTACTTAATGTTGATAAACTTGAGGAAATTGAATTACATTCAAATTCAAAATTGTATATTCTCTGAAAATCACGTATTTATATTGGTTAAAGCATATTGGCGCAATCAATTGTGTACAAATTTTTTTAAAGAACATATTAACATTCTATGTGTATACACATTTTAACGGTGTACGATTTATTCGATTTAACAAATCAATGTTCGTTCAATAGATTAAGCTCTTATCTTTGATAATTTAAACAAACAATGTAAATTAATAAATTTAATTGTAAAGCCGTAAAGATAACGCATTATTTTCGATAATTCAATTTGTAATGTTAATACACTCAGTGTCATACGGCAATTAAACTAGAAAGCGATAATTTCCAACGATTTGACGAATTAAAACATAATAAATTTACCGGAATCTGATTAGATAGAAGTAAGTAATAAAGCAACCGCCTTTAAGAGAAATACAAACAAAGAATTAAATATCAGCTACCGACTAGCCAAATAGAAACATATTCGAAAGACGAGCATCTGATTGGATAGAAGAAATTAATAGGAAAAAAGGTCTATAAAATGAATAAAATACATCGTTAATTTGAGCTTAGTCACTTAATTACTAGTTTACTATTCAACCAGAAAAAATGCGAAAATTCACAAAAATTGCATTTGGACATAATTTTTATGCAATTATTTCACGACTGAATTTCAGAAAACGTTTCCGTTATACTGCAGATAACATAAAAATCGAATGACTTAATTGTTCCCATTTGCAAGTTTGTCTTCTACTCGGAAACAAAAATATGATTTAGAAACGGAGCAAGAAAATTCAGATACTAGCAAGGAGCTAATAAATACTTTTACATACTAATATGTAATTCAAGTAATTGACCATATATATTATACCATGTAAAGTTGGCTGTGATTGCTCAACAATCACGGTTAGCCTGGGTAAAGATTTAGATTGTAAACATGCTATAACGTTATATGGGGACTATAAGAAATTTAATTTTTTTTTTTTGGAGAATAATTTGTATCTACTAAGATTTTGAAATTTGCAAAGAAAAATTCTATCGTGATTGTAAAAAAAGATTTAAAAAAAGTTTGATGGTATTAAAAGTGGATCAAGTCAAACACCCTCGTCAGTTCCTATATCAAGGAATGTTTTCCCATTCCATTGTTTTTCATACCATTGATTGCATTTAGTTTATGTTGGTCATTTCGTTTTTAAGCCAAAAGATGTTGTAAAACTTCAACGTAAATTGAATATATTGCTTGCTATGAAATAGTGTTAAAGCTTATAAAAATATATTGACAAGCACTTCATTCAAGTTGTATGTATACAGAGGCACAATAGGACAAACAACATTTGATAACAATAATAAATAATCGTTATAATTTAAAGTTCTTTTGAAGTCTATCAAATGTACATGAGTTATGGCCTCCATAAACAATGCCGTCAATCTGCAACTGCCGATAAATCCTTGTATAGGACAGAAAAGAGTGTGAAAGTTATTTTTTTTTTATCAAAAAGTTTGTTTTATCATACAAAAGTTGTTACCTCTTTTAATTTGCGACCAACCGGTCTTTTTTTCTTTTTAAAATATTTGGGAATTGATACATTTGAAAATCAAACTGCATTTTCCCGGACTAAAAAAAAATATTATTATTGTTTTTTTATATTGAAGCAGCAACTATTTGATATAATAAATTTTTGAATTTGAAAATTTCAATCCTAAATGTAAATTCAAGGCATACCACTTTAACCATTTACATGGAACACTTCCTTGGCAAAGTTTTCGTAGATACATACCATTTAAAGCGGTAAAGCGGTACGGAAAATGGCTTTATTAGATTATGCTTTGCAATTATGTTAGGCTATGAAGCTAAAAGCTACCATTTACATAGAGTGGTGAACACTCAATTGCCCAGAGACACAGTGGTTGAATGAAAGAATATATTTTGTAATATTCGATTGTTCGTACTCACCGACTGTTACGTAAAATTAATAACGGTGTGTGATACATATTTATATATTCGTTTTGATACAAAAATATTTAAGTTCACATCAACTTTATTTAGACCACTGTTTTAAACCACGTTTCACTCAACGTCACGGATAATCTATTAGGATTACAATTGTTATGCTAGCGCTCGTGCCTTCACCTAAAATTGTTAGATTTATGCATACAACCAATAGCAGCACATTACATTCCATTTCCCTATCTCCTCACTTTCCGTAAGAATTACACTCAATGTATTATTATTGCTTTGCTAGCTAAAAAGGAATAAATGGAATAACTTTGACATACCTCTTGGCTAGCAACCTAACTATGAGCATGGAAAATTGGCAAAGCGTGTTCCGTTTGTCTGCTTGAAAGTGCAAAGAAAAATCTGCAAACGATCTACAGTAGATTGCACTTTAATAAAATATCATCCGACCGAATAGATGCTGTTACGACAATGAAATAGAAAAGTCCGTTAGATTGCTCAATGAGATCCTACATAAAGTCTCATTTATAAGAGCCTTTGTTTAACAGAGAAATTTGCGAAATTAGGTAATAAAATATATACATTAAAACAATGATCGGAAAAGTATAAATTAAAAACAAGCAATAGCACAACTTCTAAAAAATAGTTATTTTAAGGGAAAATTAATTTTGCTTTCAGATTAGTTGAAATCCGTTTTCGCTTTTTAACATATTTTATTAAAACTAGAAGAAAAAAACGTATCGCGTATTCAGTATTATGGTCGTATTTCCCATTTTGTCACTAATTGCAATCTAGTAAATACATATTGCCCAGTTGATGTGTATTTGAATCATAACAGATATTAATCAACATCCATCTTATTTAAACTGATATTACACTTTTAAGCACAATAAACGTCAAATCAGATGAAGAAATATATAGGAGCTATATCCAAATCGAAATCGATCTGTATAAAATTAAGAAGCGGTATGCTATATCTGATAGCTGGGACCCAATATCGTTGTTATGGAGAGCATTTTACGAGTGTGAGGGATGAAACATATTTATGGAACTTGTAGCTATATCTTAACCGATTTCTTCCGGTCTGAATTCGTTCTTATGTGCCAAAATCCATTCAATTCGGGCTTATATTAGCAATTTGGTGCACAATAAACCTGATATTGAGTAAAGGTATATATGGGAGCTATATCCAAATCTGAAGCCATCTCGATAAAATTTGGCAAAGGCATTTCAGTCCTGTATTCGATATATTCCCCCTAATATCTTTGTTGCGGAGTGCAAATACGCCTATGAAGAATAAAAATAAAAAACAAATAAACAATATATGTGGGAGCTATAGCTATATCTGAACTAACTTCCACCAAATTTGACATACTTGTTTCTAGACTCTATTTTGTCCTGTGTGCCAAATTCCATTCAATTTGGACTGATATTACACATTTGGTGCACAATAAACAGCAAGTCGGACGAAGATGTATATATGTAACTATAATTAAATTTTGACCAAATATCTCCAATTTCAATTTTGTTCATCCGGACGAACGGACATCCATAAATCGACTTAGAATGTGATTATATTCTGATGATAGAAAAGAACTATGGATCATCTAGCTTCCTTCTCTATATTAGACACAAAGACACATGTGTAGAATACACTGCAGACAAAAATATATTTTAGACAATTAAAATGTATTTAATTTAAAATTGGATAATATTTTTAGTTTGGCAAACATTTATTTACAAGATGTAATATGCAAAAAGGGAATATTGCACGGGAATACGATGTGATTTTGGATATAAATACGTGGAAACAATTTGTGAATGGTATTTTTAACAACTAATCAAAACGCGGAAATACGCCCAATATTTTTTTCAAACTTGTACGTTGAATGTTGCTGCCCAAATTGCTTTAAATCTCTGTGGTATATCGAACAAAATATGTATTTTATACATATTTTATTTGCTAAATTGTTCGCCTAAATAGCTGTTTCGTCGATATAACTGAAATTTTGCTTGAATGCTGCAAAATTAATATTTTTTGTATCGTATTGTTGATAAATAAAAACATTGTGATTTACGATAACTTAATACCCCAAAAAATGTTCTACCCCCAGCCAACTTAATGCATCAACACCAATGTCAAATATAAATAGAGCCTGGGTATTTCTCTATATTTCCATAGAAGATAGTAATCCACATCCACAAAGAATGACCAGACCTGGCGACCCTTGAAGAATGATCCAAACCTTTTTGGGAAATAGAGTCTGGAAGTTTTTCTCCCCTGCGCTGTTAAAGCCAAATTTCCGCTCTCTGATTTCCACAATTCATTTTATGTCTCAAAATAACGTCCATCCTTTTGTCAGGGAATCCATACGCTCCCTTAAAAACATGACGAACCCTTGACGTATTATTTAAATATGTTTTTTTATCACAATAAATACAATTTTAAAACCACATTTTAATCAAAAATAGCTAGAGAAATACAGCCATGAACACATTTTTAGAATGTATGTGCATACGAACGTACGTGCCTTTTTAGTAATATGACGTGAAATGATTCTTTTGCATTTATTGACTTTTCATTCTTCAACTGAATACAACAAGCACTTTATATTTGTGTGGAAAAGCTGGGTACATGTTATTCGGCTTCTTGGCTTATGTCCAAGAAACACATTTTTGTACATTGGAACCTTTAATATGTCATGGCATATATTGTTCTACCCACGACGTTGTGCTATACCTTCCGGTGATGTTGTTGCCAATGACACTCCTTCCTTACAACGTGTGTAAAACGTTCAATCATGTTTGCACACATTTTTCCTCATGCAAACCAAATTGGTGGTATTAGAATGACAACCGGCTTAAAATTATGTTCCCTTTTGAATTTAGAATTTTGAAAATGTTCATATTCAAACTCTATTCGTTTTTTTTCTTCTTTAAAATATGATTACTAAGCGAAATTATGAGAGTTGATCAAATCAAATTATTCAAATGATGTTTGGTGTATAAAGATATAATTAGCTTTTTGTGTCATGCAAAACAAAAGTAGAAACATTGCCAACACCAACAATAACATTAACTATACAATCACAAGATGCTCGTCGAAGGTATGTTACATGTTTTTTCCATTTACTTATATACAATCTGCAGTGTCACTCCGTTTTTTGTACTGTTATTGTCCTACAAAAATTTTACTGCAGTTTCATCTTTTCAACATTATTGCATTGTCAAATATAATTTGTTTGTTTATGCAACTAAAGGTAGAAGGCCAATGCAGGCGATGTGTCGCAATTTTAGGCCAAAAATTACTATGAAATACTAAAACCTGAATTCTGGGGTTATTCCAAAGCAAATACCTCAATAATACAAAATTTATCGGTACGCTAATATTATTGTACCAGAAAAAGGATATCAACGGTTTATGAATAATTTGAAAATACAGACTTGAGAACAAAATATTTACATACTTGGTAGCATATTCATATTTATTCTTGGTAGCATATTCATATTTATTCTGTTGTTGTACAATTTACTACATTTACCTTATCCTCGATTACGCCATGCCGCACAACACAGTTTCAGGTCTGTAATTAGCGTGTACGTTACATTCGTGTTCAAACGTTATCTACCAATCTCGAAGAAAGAAAAATACTGAACTAATGATAGTTGCGTACGCCAGCATTCTAACGTTATTACTGAAACGCTGACATTAGATTTAAAGAAGTAATAACTAAGCTATAAATATAAGTGAAAGAGGTTTGGAGGGGCAGAACTTTTTATGCAATCCATCATTACGAACCTTTAGAAATCTATAGTGGAGTTCTCTAACTTATTTGCCGTAGAAATCGGTAATTTTAAAACGCAAAATTTTGGTATGAATCTTGAAATAAAAGTTAACGGCAGTGTTTCTCGGTGTAGGCAACTACCTTATTTTTGTCCCGAACTTGTTTCATCTAAATATTTAGAGCATTGCACTTCCGAAATCGTGGCTAAGACCTTAAACCATGGTAATATTGCTTATATATTGTGAGGTAAAATACATGGTGCTATGAAAAAGCTGCAACCAACTTCAGACTGCTATCATTTCTAAACCAGTCATCCGACATCTGTTATAATTATTCTAGTGACAGCTCATTATATTGTTTGCAAGCGTACAAAAGCAGTTTGGTGAGAAATTTCTAGAAAAAAGTTATTCGTGATGGTGTGATTTCTTTATTTTTGGTGGAAAACCGCAAGTGGCTACAGTTAGAGCACTCTTGCATTTAAATGTGAGTAATGGTTGTGTCTCGTACCTTCGCAATCGCAAGCAATATTCCATTCGGCAAAAATTGAAAATATTCTGGAGGGTGTATTAAAGCCTCGGGCACGCAAACATTTTGGACGCAGACCTTGAAAATTTCAACAGGACTCTGAACCATCGCACTCAGCACGCGCCACCCAAGAATGGTTTTAAAATGGGGTTCCTAGCTTCATTTCCATCGCAAAATGGCCACCAAATTCTCCGGATACCGATCCGTTGGACTGTTGTGTCTGTGGTATAGTATAGGAAAGCAAGGTTGATACTAAAAACTACCAAAGTGTAGACCACCTAAGGCCAAAATACCGCAGAGCAACATTTGGGCAGCGTGTGACGGTTTCATTGGCCCTTTGAAAGCCATAATTCGTGCCAAAGGTGATCAATTCAAACAAATCTAACCTTAATCTAAAATTTGATCCTATTTCCTGCTATATGCTATTTTTTGCTTTCATTCAATAAATTAAAA